TGAAGCCTCCACAGCACCCTGCAGCCTCCCAGGAGAATGGATGTGCAGCAGGGGCTGGGATGCTTTTCCTCTGCACTGAAGGAAGCAGAACTGCTTCCTTTACAGATCCTGAATTATCATAGAACTGGGCTGATTTTGTGAGGGTTTTCAGTTGAGTACAGCTGCTGTGCACAAGTGCAGCAGTTCTGGAGTCTCTGAAGGCCTGGAAGGTTTCTCACTGTCAGAAAGAACCTGGAAGTATCAGCCCAGCTCCTGTAATGCCTGTAATTATCACACCACAGCCAGGCTGAGCTGAAATAAAACCCAACCCTTTCTTCTGTCTAGAACAGCCTTGGACATTGAACCTTGCAGCCCTTGACAATTAAATCAGAGTTTGCCTGTTTGGTGTCATTCAACTCCACTGCCTGACTCCACTTATCAGCAAGCTGCTGGACACAGTGGGGTGGGCAGGGAATAAACTGGGGTGTTCCAAAAACACTGCACCCCTATCACCAATATTTACAACTGAAGCTAAAATCTGGCAGGGTTCAATTGAAGGAAACCCTTCAGCAGGCAAGTTTCACATCAATCATTACAAGAATCATGCAAATGGATGCATGCAGGAAGAATTAAATTTTTTTTAAATTCAACACAGGACACTGGCAAATCATGTTTGGTATTTTTTGATACATGTCATTTTGTTGGATTTTCTAAATATTATTTCCCAAGTCTAAATAATGGGATTTTACCTAATGCTGCAAGCTCTGCTATCATCACCACATTTTGCAGTTCCTTCTGGCCTTTACACATCTCCATAGAACCACAGACTCATTTGGGTTGGAAAAGCCTCTAGGATCACCAAGACCAGGAACTAACCATGAACTTCGGAGTTCACCATTCACCCTTACCCTTAAGTTCCACATCCACGTGGAACTTAAATCTTAAATCCCTCCAGGGACAATGGCATCATGTGCTATGAGAAAGTTTGCATAAAGCTCCTAAGCCTCAGTTAAGGGAAGCCTCCCTTATTTCCTGAATTACATTCTCTAAAGGAAAACAGATAATTTAAATGATATCAAATATTAGCTTTGGATAACTAATGATGCTCTTTTTTTCCCTCTTTTTCTTTTCATAAATGCTTTACAGCAGGATCTGTACCCCATCAAACACGAGTAAAACTGTGAGGTGAATTGGGAATCCTACAAGAACAGAGGATGTTTTTGCCTCACCTTAACTCACTGTAGCTGTAAATTGAACCAGGTAAAATTCTAGTTTTGTTTGATGGGGTTATTTCATGCCCAAGACAATTCCTTTGAAACATGACCCTGCACTGAGATTTTCTAATGTTTTAATAATAATTATTCAAGGAGGGCACAAACCTTAAAACGGTTCCTCTACAGTTCTGGATGAGCTCAGCAATAAAGAACTCAGGCTTTATTTATAGAAGCCTTGCTTTCCCCCCAGCTTTCTGACATCCTTACTAGCATTTAAGTGAAATCCATCTCAAGCCAGGGCCATGAATTTTCCATGAGCTAAGTGCTAAGTGTTATCACAGAAGTGAAATAACTCGAGTGCTGTAACCACCCCACAGAACGAACATGTTTTAGAGCACCAACATCTCACCACACACACTCATTCCAAAATTTCCTTCCACCTGACTGCTCACAGCCCAGCTTCTCACAGGGCTGTGCAGTGCTCTGAACTTCTGCTGTGCATTTTGAGGAGCTGTGCATGCCCTGACTCTGAGGAATACAAGCTTTAAGTCCTGCTCTCAGTACATCCCTGGCCACCACACCCCACCTTTCAATAATACACCTCGGATCAAACACAGATTTGTTCACTGTCTATTGGCAAGTGCACAGAAAGCCAGACTACAAAAAGAGCTTTCCTGCATTAAGGGCAGGTGCTGTAGTTTGAGGCACAGGGTGTGAATCTGCCCTCAGAGCTGAAAAGATGTTCTACATCTGGAGCTGTGTGCTCCTAGAACACCAAACACCTGACATAGTGAAGAGCATTCATTCAAAACCCAAAGGCTTTCTGTGTTGAGTTCTAACTCTCATTTTATTTGAGAGCCCTTTTATAACCAGTCTCACCTCGCTGACTTCCCCCTTAGCAGATCTACACTACTCCCAGTTTTCCTCTGATATAAGGAAGATTCTCCTGTTCCCATGTTCCTACGAAATTATTGAGTTCCCCACAGCTAACTCAATAATTTCCCATCCTTTTAAGTCCCATTCCATTGCACACCCCCTTTTCTTCCCCTGCTGTTATCAAAGTTGTAATTCCCTTCTGCCACTCCACATTTTACCTGCAGGAAGTCAATCTATTTCTCATGAATTAATAAAGATTGTTACTTATGGCTTTTTGTAGCATTCTGCTTCCCCATTTTCCATGGGGCTTTTGCACTTGAAATGTTTGTAGAGAGAACTTCCACACAAATATCAGGTCACTGGTGTTGACAAAGGGATAAGAAATCCCTGCCATGCTCTGGAGAGGGGGTTAATTGATGCCAAATCCAAGCATGTCCATGGCCATGGAGGGGCACAGAAGTTTTTACCCTTCATTCTAGCAGGCAGTAGCAGACTGAGGTTCATTCTCAGAAATCCACAACAATTTTCAGTGGGGATTTCACCCAGGCAGGGAGCACACATCAGATTGGTGCAACCAAACAAGGCAGACGATGATGTTGGCAAAACCAACAGTGCCTGGATTCTGCTGCAACATCTGAGCATCCATGAAGTTGGCTGAGTTAAGGGATTTTTACCATGAGTTCTTCCACTGTTTTCCTCTCCCAAATTTGATTAAGATTTCATGCTGCTCTGGGATATACACAGTGGTCTCTACATCTCCCAGCACCACCACCAACACATGGCAGGATATTCAAGTTTAAAGCCAAACAAAGCCCCTGGTGTTTGTACAGAAATTATTTCTGTGCTCACACTAAAAGGCCTCACTCCTCACTAGGACCCACCCCAAGGGCAGTGATAAAGTGGTAATGACACAGATATGGCAGTCTGTAAGGAGGAATTATTCCTTTACTTTTTATTGCATGTAAATGCTACTGGCTTTGCCTCCCCACCCAGCTTTATTGCATCCAGTGAATCAAAGCACTGGGAAATGCCACACAGCTGGAAAATGTGATGCACTAAAATAATGAATTCAGCAATGTACAGTGTGTACTGAGAAGTTGTAAATGCTCTATCAATTATTTATTCCACCCCTGCAGCAGTTTACTGCAGCATAAAAGGATAATAAAAAGAGCTGCAAGAGGTATATGTTAAAAACTACTGACAATTGCTTGGAGAGATTTTCATAGTAAGTATTAAAATATTAACATCTTCAAGGCAATAAAAAGTATTTTAGTAAAACTTCCTCGCAGTGTGAAAAATATTGACAACTGTTCTTTTCTTACTCAGATACCAGAGGAAAAAAATGAAGTTTTGGCTATTTATAAGAAGTGAGATTTTTTTAAAGTTGTTTTATCTGTTGTAAAATGGAACTGTAGGAGCAGGGACTGCACTGTGGATCAGCCCCTTTTACAGCAGCACATTTTAACTTGTTGCTGCTAATGTTTAATTCTTTTAATGTTTAGTTCTTCGTGAACCAAAAAGATCACCAAAATTCCACCTCCATTTCTACAAAACTTGTCAAGAAAAACAACATTGGCTTTTCCACTGAAACTGGCAAGGATCAGTGGCTCTCCAGGGTACCTCAGTGCTCCAGGGGTAACTGAAAGGACCAGCCCCTACCGCAGAGGCACAGGGTTATGAAAAGGGCTTTCAAATGAGGAAACGAGTCCCTTCAGATTGCCCTGCTAAAGCATAGCCCCAAAAATTTCACAGGAATGAGGAAAACACTGGCTAGAGCCTGTTCAAATTATGTTCAAAGCCACAAATATGAGAAATATTCTCAGCTTGCTTTTCCCAGACAAATTGTGAATAAACACTCTTTCCTCACTCGAGGAAGCGTGTTAGCAGTGGGGAGGCTTTCCGTTGGGTGCCTCACTTATTTCTCTATTTGTACTACAAAGATTTTTCCTCTCTGTCTACACACTGGCTCTTTCAAAAAAAAATTATTGAAATATCTTAGTTTGGTTTTTAATCCTTCCACTGTTTCACTGCTCAGTGAGGTAAGTTTGATAATCAACGTTCATGAAGGGGAGTGAAACACACAATGCAGCAGCTGAAATGCCAGGCCCAGGAAATTTCCAGGTGCGCTGATATAGCTTTTATGCTTTTAAATCCAGTTTAGGATTTAGCTTTTATGTTTTTCAGATCCTGTACTGCATTAGGGTATAACTTTAATACTCCATACAGAGTGTTAGTTACTGTCTTCAGGTTTTATTCACACACAACAATTCCTCTCTGGGCCTGAATCTCAAGGGCACCTCACTGCCTCAGGTCCCAAAAAGTATAAACAGAAGTGAGCTGGGGGGAGCAGACTGGGGGTTGCTACATTGCCCTCAGGCCATGTTTTCCCCCATTCCCTGGGACCCCTGTGACTCTGATCAGATAAGCCTGGTCTCCTCCTTCATGCCCCAATGGGGTTGGCGAGAACCAGAGAAGCCCTCCCTGTCCAGAGCCCCGATAAGGCCATGACCCTTCCTGTTCACCCTCTTTCCCCCACTCTTCCCCTCAGACCATAGAATAAAGAGCTGGACAACTACATCGGGGTGAGAACCTCTTTTAGAAATCTTTGCCCATCTCCTGATACTCCTCCCCTCAAGGCCTCGTATCTCTGGGCTAGCCTGATAATTTGGGGGCTGAGAGAGGGAGAAATGTCAGGGATAAATGACTTCATTACCTGCAGCTGGAATTGGAGCATTAACCCCTGCTATGGAAATGGCCCAAACTGAAAATTGTGTGAAAAACTGGTGCCCATCGCCCACCTTGGGTGCAGCCTCTGGAGGCTGTGGCTGCCCAAGCTGTGCCTGCTGAAGGCTTTAATAAATCCCCACTTTATTCTCCTCCCCTTGCCTGGCCTCTGCTCTAGGGGCCCTCCAAGGCAGCAGCAGCACTCACCACCCAGGGCTTGTCGCAGAAGTTGTAGATGGACTCGAGGGAGTTGACGCTGGGGATGCCGGCGTACTGCATGCCGATGATCAGGTTGCGGAAATCCTCGTTCTCCGCCATGCTGTAGGAGTGCTGCCTCACCAGCACAAAGTCGGGCCGGAACGACCTGCCAAAAACACCACAGCGCTGAAAATCCACCAGCAAACTGGCTCTCCTTCAACAGCAAAATGGGCAGAAAGGGAAAAATGGCTGTGGGGGAGGAGGGAAGGGCTGGGAGAACACGCAAAGCGAAGGGGAATGATAAAAGGTGGAAAGAGCCATGATGGCTCTATGAAAAAACAGTAAACAAAAGGGAAATGATAAAAGGTGGAAAGAGCCATGATGGCTTCATGAAAAACACTCCGACCAAAGGAAAACAAATGGAAAGATGGCTTCATGAAAAATATTCAAACCAAAGGGAAAGGATAAAAGGTGGAAAGAGCCATGCTGGCTTTATGAAAAATACTCAAACCAAAGGGAAAAAAATGGAAAGATGGCATTATGAAAAATATTCAAACCAAAGGGAAAAGACGAAAGATGGAAAGAGCCATGATGGCATCATGAAAAACACTCAGACCAAAGGGAAGAAATGGAAAGAGCTATGATGGCTTCATGAAAAATATTCAAACCTAAGGGAAAAGACAAAAGATTGAAAGAGCCATGATGGCTTTGTGAAAAACACTCAAAGCAAAGGGAAAAAATTGAAACAGCCATGATGGTTCTGTGAAAAACACTAAACCAAAGGGAAATAACAAAAGATGTAAAGAGCCATGATGGCTTTGTGAAAAATACTCAAATCAAAGGGAAAAAAATGGAAGGGGACACGATGGCTTTGTGAAAAACACTCACACCAAAGGGAAATTATAAAAGATTAAAAGAGCTATGGTGGCTTCATGGAAATCTGCAGCACTGTTCAGCATCCCCTCAATAATGGGCTTCTATTAAGAGGAGAGAGAAATTGCCATAGATTTCAGGTTGTTTTCCTGATGACAGATAAATCTCATCTATAACCTCTAGGTATATCCATTTTCTGAGCAGCAACAAGCAAAACTAAAGGAGGCAAATCAAAGGACTCTGCCACAAACTTGGGCTTTTGGGGAACATTTTTTTTCCACAATTATTTTCAGGCTGTTTTAAGGACAGAAGAGATGAAGCAACCACATTGCTGGCAAATGGAATCAGATCATAATGGAGAGAATCACAACTGAACTTTTGATCAAGAGACTTGTCAAAATGAAGTTCTTTACTTAGAGCTGAATTTCCCCCTTTTCTCTCTGGTATCTGACCAGCATTTCCCCTGCTGCTCCCTGTGGTTTCCTCCTATCACCCTGCACCTTTGCCAACAATCTGACACCATCTTCACCTTACACCAACCCTGAGATTTTCTTACTGGAGAAGGTCATGGAAAATAGAAAACACAAACCAACAAGACAAAGCCTTCAGAGCAGGGGAAATTCACTATTAAATTTGGCTGTTGAAAGAGTCTTTTCTACATTCCAGTTTTATAGGGGGGAAAAAACCCTTACTAGCTTGAAGATGGCAACTTCCTAAAAGAGGTATAACTGCAGGGTAAATTAAATTATCATAGTAAATTGGTGAAATTATTTACATGCCTTGAATAAATGCAGGCTGTTTACTGGAGTGAGACACTCTGAAGATTACAAAATTATTCTGAATTCTCACTCTGGTAGAACAAAAACAACAAAACAATTAAAACCCATGTTAAAATTGCTTTAGCAGTTCAGCAATCCCAGCTTGGATACAGCAGTCCGAGTTGATTAGCTGGATTCTTGAGTTTCAAATTGCAGGATCATAGAAGTGTTTGTGTTGGAAGAGAGTTTTTAGAGCTCATTTTCTTTTTTAGTGAAAGGCAGGGACTCCTTCCACTGCCCCAGGGTGCCCCAAGCCCTGTCCAACCTGGCCTTGGACACTGCCAGGGATGGGGCAGCCACGGCTGCTCTGAGCAACCTATGCCAGTGTTTTACCACTACCACTGTAAAAATAAATAAAAACCCCAAACCTGCCCAATTTGGCAAAAGCAACATTAAGGATTTGCTGTCAAGAGTTGTTGAAATGGCACTGAAGCTCAGTGAGCAAAACCTGTAAAGAAATCCTTGCCTTTAAACAGGATTCCTGAAAAATATCTGCAGCATAATTCTGAGATGTTGTGATCTAGGTTTCATGGGGCTGCTGAGAGTTTGGAACATGCAAATCCAATTTACTGGCCCAGGCAGAATGTAATACTTAGAGGATTAATGATGCCTTTATTGCTGGTATTAATGGGACTGTTTTTGGGTTAAGAATTATTTAGTGTTCAGATAAATATTAGTTTTAGAGGTTGTGAGATTTATGAAAGTACGTTGCTGGTTATAGTTTAAGAGTAGTTACAAGTTTTTTTGTAATAAGGTAATATATAAATCTTTAACTTAATAGATAAGGTTTGCTATAAGGTTTATTTTTATTTAATTTTGTTGTACTGTATTTTTGTTTAATCAGATTTTGTTATATTTTTATATATATGTTTCTATTATAATTTTTAAACTTTTAGTTTATTCTATATAGCCACACTCTTATATTTTAAACTCTTCATATTTTATTAATATAGTTTTTTACTTGAGGTATATTTTTTCTTACAATTATAGAAACATAAGTGTATTCTTTTTTGTTTAATATTTGTGTATTTTATTTTTATATTCATTTAAGCTTTTTTTAAGGTAGATCAAACTCCTCAGTGTCTGTAGAAGTTTCTGTTTTTCCAGTTCCCACATGCCTTCATTAAATTTGCAGATCCCTCAGTGAAAGAAAGAGACAACTTTTGTTTATTAAAATAAGGAGGATAACACATCCCAGACAGTATTGTGGCTTCAAATTAAAGAACAGAAAGTGTCCTCTCAAAGAACAATTTAATGAAACAATTGGGGAATGGAGGGAATGTACTTTTTAAAAATTAAAAATAAAGAAATACAGTTTGCTTTGCAAAAGCTCCTCAAAGGAATGTGATACATTCCCATAATTGTTCTAGGTCTGTAATTAATGCTGGAGTGACTGCATACAGAAGGAGGCCAGGAGGAAAATTTTAATTGTGGCTCAAGCATCAAGATCCAAAAATCTCAGCATTATGTTACAGAAAATGTAATTTTTCATGGCATGATTTTCATTCACAGAAAACAAACAAGTCAGTGCCTCTTAAACATTGTTTTCCTCCTAAACTAAACCAAACCAGCAAATTTTTGTCATTGACATTTCTATGATTTTGCTAACTAACAATTTGCTCATAAATCTGTGATATAAGGTCACTTTGGGCCTCAAATGGATAGCAAATATCTCCAATTATCACAGACACAGAGAATTGCTCTCCCATCCTGCCTGCACCTCCCTCTCACACCACAAGCCACATCCCCAGGCGTCTCACACCAGATTTGAGGGAAAATTATCAGCTTCAGGTAGTTCTAGTTGGGTAAATAGATCACCCATAAAATGATAAAATTGTAATCTCATTCTCAGTTATCTGATGGCACAAAGGTCTGTTTTTTTCTAAAACAAGCAGCACTTTTACCAAGTTTTCTCATGACCTGCAAATCTTTGGAGATGTTATTTTCTGGAGGTTCCCAGCCCTCATTTTCTCCTGACATGTTTTGATGGTAACTTGGCCTTGATACTTTTTAAAACACTTTTTGGAATAGTACAGAAAAGCCACTAGGGAGCAGCCATCAAGATTTCTTGGCTCTAAAACTTCCATCATTGGGTAAAAAGTTCCACCAACCCTAAGAAAAATCAAATCTTTTAATCTTCTAAGGAATTAATCTTGCGGGTTTGGCACAAGATCATTTTTTTTGTATTAAACTGCAATATTTTTTTTTAAAAAGCCAGAGATTAAAGAATTGGAATTTTGAAGCATAAACTTATTTTTAATATTTTTCCTGGAGTTTTTTGTTGGGTTTTTTTTTGTTTTGTTTTGTTTTCTGTTTGTATGTTTGTTTGGTCTTTTACGTGAATGAGTAGACATATTCAAATCTTTTATTGGGAGATATGTTCTGCAAACCATGAAAATCCAGGATATACTTGTGTGGCTCTGCCTTTAAATTCAATTTTTCAGCCAAACAACTGTTACTCTTCACTTACATATAAATGCACCAGCCAAAATAGGAGCAATTCTCACAATTTAAATAAAAAATTTTGATATAATTTTGCTAATAATTTGGCCAATATAATAATTTTGATTATATAACTTTTCTAATACTTCCTTAATTTTTTCCTCTGCCCTGTTTTCTCCCGTCACATTTACGAGGCTGTTGATGTCCTCACTGAAAAAAAACAAAGTTAAATTTACCCTGCCTTTGTTGGCATCATACTTTTTAGACAAAATAGGTGTTGGGAAATCTGAGATGTTTAAACCAAAATGTTTCAAACAGGCTGGAATATTCCAGGAACTGCCCTGAGAGTGTATTATGACTTGGTCTGTTTCAATAGAAAATATTCCATGTTGGAAATAAATTCTGCTATTCTGGAAAAGTCTGGCAGGTACAAAATCACCAAATTTGGGTCCTTCTGTAGCAAACATAAAAGCCAAATCAATAACCCCAACTCTCAACCATGTATTCTTTATTCTGGACTTCCTTCCCTTAACAAATCCATTTCCCCCATGGTTACAATGTCAAGATGTGTCCTCCCTGGCACAGAAAGGTTGTAACAAATCAGGTATTTTATTTTCTACTCTCTCTGAGGGGCATCACTCAAAATCCACAAACAAAAATACTCAGCACCTTTCCCATCCGCACATGATGCCATTTATTGCTTTTTGCTGATAGTCCATTGAGTTTTTCTTACCTGACAACTTTTGTGCCATTTCGAATTACTTGGATATCAACTGCATAATTGCCATCAGCGTGGGCTATCAAGTTGATTTCTGAAAATTCTGCCTATGAAGAAAAGACTCCCATTAGTCAGTCTGGTTTAGTTTACATTTATTTTCCAAGTCCCTTATTTTCAGCATTAGGGCCTGAAGTGCTGACAATCTACATTTGAAATACAATCAGCACCAAGAGGGCATTGATCCAGCACTATTTGTCAAGTATGACACATCACATTTCAAAAGGTTTTAATCCAAAGGGAGCAAAAGGTAAAAAAATATTGTGAAAATGGATTGTGGGGCAGTAGCAAGTGGATTTACTCCTCCATGTCTGCAGAGCAATGTAGGGATTATATTTTTGCTTTACACAATGTTATCAAAGAGATTAATACAGGCGAAACATTGACATAAAGTTTTGAAGAAAATAGTACAAAAACAGAATTAAAATAACATTTTCTTATAGAATGTAGGGGCTTCTCATGCTGCTCACCCCTTTTGATTTTCTTTATGTGCATTTACTCTTTTTTTAAAATGACCTGGTGGTAATGAGCAATTGTCTCACAAAATTCTCAATTAAAGTGTTTTTTCAAAAGTCTTCTCACCCTGGAAATGGGGAATTTAAAGGGAGCTGCTCCCATACTCTGAATCTGTGATTTGAAAGGAAAGAACAGGATGTGTTACATTTATCCCCAGCCTTTCACCAACTTAGTCTCTCAAGGCACTTCACAATAACATCACCCAGCAGAAGAATTGAAATGCAGCCAGCTGTCTCCTGGTGGATAAATAAAAGTGTCTCTGCTGTCCCGAGGAAAGCACAGAATAGAGAATGTCACAATCCTCGTTAGTCTGCTCCTGAAAAATGGAATTATTTCAAGTGTTCCTTGGGCAGACCTGGGAGCATTTCCCACCCTGGCGCTCAGGGAAGGGAGGCTGAGCTGTTCCTCCCACTGCTGCAGCCCAGCACCGCAGTCAGGCCTTGGTTCCATTAAACCCAGACACCCTCACAGCTCCTGGGATCACTGGGACACAGCTCCCGAGCTGATTGCAAAGCAGAGCAAATGGGGAGAGAATGAGATATTTGTGTGGGCAATGAGATATTTGTGTAGGCACTGCAAATGTCAGACTCAGTCAATCGACTCCGAGACTGAGAACGGGTATCTCCAATTAATAAATCATTTTAGAAGCTTAGAGTGTGATGGAAGACATTGTATGTTGAGAAAGGCAGTGTAAAAATGAAATAATTACTGTTACAATAAATGGTATGAGCAGCAGCACACTGCAGTAGTTGTTATTTGTATGCTGATGAGCAACAAAAGGATTTGTGTGGCTCAGAAACTTGCAGTGTCTCTCTGATTAAAGTTGTAGCAGCACAGGAGGGGAATTCAAGGTTTACCCTGAGTTTTTGCTCCTGTTAAAGGGATGGGGTGTGCTGTCAGCTGCCTGCTCTGGTCTAGGTGGGAATGGACAAATCAGTTGTCTTCGTTTTCCTGCCTCTCCAAGACCCCTGGCAAAGCTTTCCATGTTCCCAAGCCAAGGGCAGCAGATATTCAGTGGTGTCAGGAGTGGATGCTGTACCATTAGAGTGAATTTAGATCAGCTGGACACACACAGTTAATGATAATTTTCCCTCACTGTTTGAAAATCCAATGACAAAGAAACTCAAGGACTGATGCTTCATACAGCAGCATCTATTTGAGGAATTCAAGATTCAAAAGCAGTGAAAAGACTTCTTTAAATCCCTAATTTCAGCTTAAATAAAATAGCTATAATTCCAGTGCACCCTAAATTTTATCTCCACGCCTATTCCTATTTATTATGGATTTTTTTAAACCCCCACAAGCTAGCACTGCACCCAGAGCACATTTATATTCCTGAGTGGGGAATTAGTGATACAGAACTGCCACATGTAATTCATGGAGTGTCTGTGAACTTCACAGTCTCTAAGCAACAACCCCTGAATACAAGATGTTTTCCATGCTGTGAAAATTATGGTGAAAATCCCCTCAGAAGAGCCCACTTTGGGTGCCAAAAAAGGGCTGTTGTGGTTTAACCCCATCTGGCAGCTCAGCCCCGTATCCATTCCCACCCAGAGGGTGAAAGTGGGGAAACTTTATAACTTTTTACCCACCAGAAGGGTAACAGTGACAAAACTGTGGGTTGGGATAAACAGAATTCAAGAGCTAAAGCTAAAAAGCTAAAGCCAAAGCTGTGAGTGGAAACATAGGAAACCAATTCCCCCAGCAGCTCGAGGGGGGAAATTAACTCTACCCCAGCCCAGACCATCAAATTTCCTTAATTGTCAGGGGTTTGGGGTACAAAGATTGTGATTTTTTCTGTATGAATGCACAGAGAGTCATGGAATCATTTAGGTTGGAAAAGCCCTCTCAGATAATCTCCATTATCATTAATCCAAGGCCACCACCAAACCATGTCCCCAAGTGCCACATCCACACGGCTTTTAAATGCCTCCAGGGAGGGATTACATACATGATTAAATAGATGTGTTTCTAGAAATGCACAGATATAAAATAACGTTCAGGCTAAGTCTGTTACCTGTTCCACCTTTATGTCATACTCTCCATGGACCTTTTTTCCACGAAAAGCCTTGGCCCTGCAGGAAAAAAAGGAGAGAGAATAAAGGTATATATCTGATATATCTGTAATCAGTGTCTGTAGAAAACTTCCTGTATTGCTTTCAATGTCCTGGAAACACACAAATATACTAATTAAATCTACCTGCTGCACGTGCACAATTCCCCTTCTCTGCCACCTTTGTATTCTCCTCCCCACGATATTTTGTAATAAAAAGCACAATGTGATTTACAACACTGAAGTGAAAATGCACTGAAATTATGAAACTCAGAAGTTCACATTTCACAGCTGTCAAACAATATAAAAGGAGTCCTATTAAGCAGGTACAACTTTGCTCTCAAAGTCAACGGTGGCAGTGGAAATTCATCGCCCTGTGAACAACTTCCTAACAACCACTCATATTCATCTTTATCCACGTAGCTCATTTAGAAAACATGCTTAATTTGGAATGTTGTGCTTAGACACTTTATATTGTTTTTAAAGTGTCAGAGTACTGGAGACTGCTGTTGTCAGATATTTGAGTGTCTGGTTGGTCTCCTAATCAGTTTTCCTTTCTCTAGACTAACTTGATATGAAATAATGTGAAGGAGAGTTTATGAGCAATTTTTATGCACCAGAATTGCTGGGACAGAACTGAATCCACTGATCCAGGCCTTACAAACAGACATTCCTCCAGGAATCCATGCCTTGTATCCCTCAGGCTGAATTTATCTGCTTTGGACTAAAGGAGAATTCCAACTCTTTGAAAAGATAAAGAAAAAAAAAAAGATAAATCTGTTATTAAAAAGAAATTATACTGACACTCTGATGTTGTTGAAGGAATATGGGATCAGCCTCTCTGCATTTTCTTTGCTCAAGCCAAAGCTTAGAGTACCTTCCCTGCTTTTCTCTTGTACAAGGAAAAATTTGCTGCACAACTCAAAACCTGAACACCACAGAACATCACCTCCAGTGCTAAAGAACAGCAGCTTTGTGCATGTCCAACATCTAACAAAATGCTGTTGTATTACCTGAAATCTACCTCACCAATGAAAGCAATAGCAATACATATATTAATAATTTATTTCCACTGTGGTCTAGAAGAATTTCACCCCTGGTTACAATAGTGGATAAACAACATTGCTTAATAATCAAATGTAAATACTGCCTTGGGGAGCATTTCATAAGGAATAAGGATATTTCTTAAGGATATAGATGGTAGAAGTGTTTATACTGAAATCGCACACTAAAATATTGCCCAACCATTAATTCTTTATAAGCATGCAGCTGGGAAGAAGAAAACAAGGAAGAAAGAATTTGTATTATTTTTTTAAACTGTGTTGTTGCAATAAATACACAAGAAAGATGAAGTTTAAAATCCATTGTTGTGTTCTAAGAGGTGCACACTCAGCTTAGTGTTACCAAATATTTATGCCCATACTAAAAGTAGAAGTTAAATATAAATGTAATTTACATAAATATCATTATTCACTTATTTATCTTCCAAATTTGCTTTGGAATCCCATAAGATGAATGTGAGCATCACCTCTTGGAAGCTTTGGGGATTCTGGAAGTGTTTTATGGGAAAAACCAGATTTGTGCCAGAGCTGGAGGAAGGTCCCACAATCAGGGATCTGCCTCAGGAGGAGAGCACCCAGCTCACATCAACAGACAGCTTTAATGCCTCTCTGAAAAAGTAAAGATTCACCACTGCAAAAAATACTTCAAACTCCAGCTCTGGTCCCCATGAATTTAACAGCATTGTCCTGGTTGAATTCTGCTGGAACAGGATGAGCTCCTGGGTTTTATCTCTGATGCAGCAACAGGTGAGGTAAATGCATTATTGGACTTCACATGACACATTTAATTTAAATACAATTATCTTGGCTACATTATAGTGAAGCTGCCTCTTGGCCCCTGGAAAACCAGTTTAAAAACTCAGTTTCTTAAATTTAAATGTTAACTGGACATCCAGAGATTAAACCTCCCCCAAAAGCTCCCCTAACAAATATCAGCAACTGGGAGTTTTTGGAGAGAAGAAATGGAGCTGGGAAACCACAGAGAGCCCAGCACAGACCCTTCTACTCTTTGCTCCAAGTCCAGTGCATGTATGTGTGAGTGAGATAACCAAAATACTCATTAGCTGTTAATTAGTGAGATGCTATTACTCTAAATTCAGTCTTTCTACTCAAACATGAGGCAATCTCCAAAGAGCTAAACTCTGGCATGATTCACATTTCAACAAATGACTTCAGCTTTGAAAATAAACAGGAGTAGTAAGGACTGAAGTTAAGCAATCTGAGGCTTGAAAACAAACCTGACATTCAATCATTTCAAGAGAATCAATTTCGCAGCAGCTTTAGCCAACAACTTTTATAAAAATGTATAATATTCCACAATATTCTCCAAATGTTGAGCCAAGAATTTATCCTGGTATCTGTTGGAACCCTGGCTGCTGGGAATTTCAGACTTTCTGTGCTGCCAGGCACTGACCCCCAAGAGAACATTGCACTGACCTGAGGCTGTGGAGAAGCTTCCAAAATGGAATGATGGAACTGGGATTGTGGGTGTGGAGTTTAAATAAAAGTGTGTAATATCACATAGCAGAAAACTTAGGGTTTAAAGTTTTAAAATATAATAATATATATAAATCAAGATAAAAATTTTAAACAAAAACTAATCCTTCTTCTTCACCTTCTTCATGAGTTTAAGTAGTATGTAATTAGATAAAAAATGTGTTTGTACATTGCAAACCACAAGTAATTCATTATTATGTTAAAAATGAAAATAATTTAAGTGTCATTTCTTAATTCAACAGTTTGTCCTTAAAAACCTTGTAAAAATACAACTCAATTTTTAGTTTAATTATTAAAGTACTATAAGACTCACAGTTTGTAAAACTATAATATAAATAAAAACTAACAAATATCTAAATCCAAACAAGAAATACGGTCTTACACCTTTAATCTTAACCCTAACAAAAAAAAAAAAAACAAAAACTCTACAGGTATCTCTAAACAATAACTGAAAGTTTCACAACTTAAACATTTCAGAACAAAGTCTAAGAACTAGTTAGCCTGTATTTGTTGTGAAACAGAACCCAGTTTTCATTTATTTACTCTACCTAGGAAATTCAGCCATGCCCTGCTTGAATTATTATATAATAATATAATATTCATTATATAATTGCAAATAAGAACTTGCAATAAAATAAAGAGGCAGTCCTGTCATAATGACATTCATTACATACTTATGGTAATTTTTTTTTACTGAGGGGAGCTGAGGGGTGCAATTGTTTGGTGTTATTGATTTACCGAATCCCCTCAGTTGTAGTCTCAGTTTCCTGTTGAGCCTTACTCCTCCTGGCATGGAGTGTGGAATGGCTGTAACCAGCTCCCAGAGCTTTCCAGGACAGGGCTCTTGTCGGAACTCAAAATGTCCCTCAGACATTTTTGGATGTTCTGGGCCCAGGTCAGAAGCATTTGAGACCCTGGCAGGCAGCTGGAAACAGCTGTGATTTTGGGTTTGAACCATGGAATGATTTACCAACCTTGCAGGAAGAACAAGAAGTCACAAAAGTTTAGATATTAGAGTAGAAGTAGTCACAAAGTAGAGGGAAGAATTTTTGAGTGCTGTACAGGGGGGTTTTGGTTTTGTACATGGGGGTCAGAGGTTTTAAGATGGAGGGATCTGGGCCTGCCCTGTCCTCCCTCTTTCTTCTTCCTTACCTCCATGTTCTTGGTGATGTTGGCACTCACAGATTGGTTTAGAGTAGAAAAGCACCATTTAATACAGGTAATGGGCATTGGGGAAAAACTGTAACCATGTAACACGTAATGTACCATATAAAAGATAGAAAAGCACCATTTAATATAGGTAATAGGCATTGGGGAAAAACTGTACCCATGTAACACGTAATGTACCATATAAAAGATAGAAAAGCACCATTTAATATAGGTAATAGGCATTGGGGACAAACTGTACCCATGTAACACGTAATGTACCATATAACAGACAGCAGCAGCCCTGGGCAGGGAGAGAAGAAGCAGTCGGGAGTCAGAGAGGATGTCAGGGTGTGTGTGTGCCTCTGCCTGAGCTCTGAGCAAACCACAGCAGCCCCAGAAGAAAATCTTTTAGATAACTTGCAATAAACTGCCTTGAGACCGGACAACAGAGACTGCTGAGCCTTTCTTTGGCAGCACGGGTTGGAGGAGAGACTTTTCCAGCACACGGAGCCACCCCTGACCCAGGGTGAGCTCCGGCAGGCTCTGAGGAGCGTGAGGTGAGCTGCCAGCAGGAGTGGAACTGAAAAACAAACACACCCCACATCAGGGGCATTCACAGTGACATTTAGCTGCTGTTGTTGCTGGCTTTTTGCATTTTAGGTAAAGAAGAAAAGGAAAGAAATCATCACCTGAAACTCCAGCAGTGCTTTCCAAAGCCCACAGAGAGAGCAGAGAGCTGTGGAAGGGATGAACCCACTGAAGTCACTGCCATGGCCTCCTATACAGTCACAGGCTGCTCAAAACACCTGAAATATTCATGCATCTCTTGCTGCACAATTCATATTTAAAACAAACCAGCAGAGAATATGAACATGCAGTTGCCATAGAGGCAGCCTGACACGAACTCACTCCATTCACTGAACTTTGGCAAGGACAAGCAATGAAACATTAAAGAGTCATTAAAGAGTTTCAAATATATAAATAATAAATCTGATTTAGTTCCCCATTCAGCTACACAGCATCTACCTACACAGTATCTTACTACGCCATGAGACCAACCTGGTTTAATATGTGTGTGTGTGTATATATATATATATATATAGATAGATAGATAGATAGATAGATATAGATATAGATGATATAGATATAGATATATATGTGTGTGTATGTTGTGTGTGTGTGTGTGTGTGTGTGCATATATACAGAATATTCCCAAATATTCTATATGTATATATCACATATATATGTGTGTATATAAATATATATATACACAGAATATTCCCAAATAACCAATTTACTGGAATTATCAGGTAAG